AAAAAAAATAAAATAAAATAAAAAAATAAATGTTGCAGCATTCATCAAATAACTGGCTGCATTAAAAAAAAAGATTAAATATATTTGATGAATGTGTTATCTCACTGGAGCATATAATTATTACTCATTATGTTATTATTATATATTATTACATATTCGTTGGTTTTCTTTTTTGAGACAGAGTCTCACTTTGTCACCCTTGGTAGAGTGCTTTGGTGTCACAGCTCACAGCAACCTCAAATTCTTGGGCTCAAGCAATTCTCTTCCCTCAGCCTCCCCAGTAGCTGGGACTACCAGTGCCTGCCACAACGCTCAGCTATTTTTAGAGATGAGATCTCGCTCTTGCTCAGGCTGGGCTTGAACTTGTGAGCTCAGGCGATCCACCTACCTTGGCCTCCCAGAGTGCTGGGATTACAGGCCTGAGCCACCTCACTGGGGATTATATAATTAACGACGAATATATTTGTCGTTAATTATATAATCCCCATCTTATTCATGGAGATGAAAACAGAAGGGCAAACTCAAACCTTGTTCTGGTTCCAAAGCATATGTCCTTCCCCTGGCCCTTCCTAATTCTGCCTGTGGGTTTACTAATTGCACTGAGTCTCACTGGTGCCACATGTGTCCACGGTGGGTCCTCCCTCTCTTTGCTGGGCCCTAGGGCTGCCCCCATTGCTCCCTGACTATAAACCATGCTTGCAGCTTCTTGACAGCTACTTTGAAGCCTACCAGCACACACTGGACCCTGAGGAGAGGAGTGCTTTGGCACAAGTAATGACGGACATCATGCACCGGCGCCCGAGGTTTGATCTCAGCCACCCTTACTTTATTAAGGCCTACCAGGATGAGTGTGCCTGCCTGAGGCTTCACCTGCAGCTAGCAAGGGGCGTCCTCAACCAGCAAGTGAGTACAGATGGGTTTTAAAATACTACACGTGAGAAGAGGGAGGGACAACCCCTGCCAGAAAGGAAAATAGTGTGTTTTCCTATCATCACAGATCTGGAATCCCGGTTTTCTAGGGCAGCGTGGTCTACATGCTTATTTGTGAGCTCACTTGTATTGGTGACTGACTAGTGTAACTATGGTCTTAGAGGAAAATTTCCACCCCTAGCTACAGTTAATGGTCCACAAGGAATTGATGATCTCAGTTTTCATTTGATCATAGAGTTCACCAGTGGTGAAAGAAGCACTAATGATACATCTTTTTGAGACATCAATGTAAAAAATCATGTTTATCTAAAATATTTGTGATTATTTTTAGGGCACCGACAGAAAGGATCCCATTGCATGTCCTCTAGGGAAAAGCTAATGGCATGAAGCAGGCAGGGGACAAAGGATTGTTCCAGACTGGTTGGATTTTTTTTCACATAGTGAATTATTTAACAGAAGAGAAATTTTCCCTCTCACTTCTTAAAAATATCTGAAGCTGGTTGCCTTCTTGGTTCCCTTGGCTGAACTGGCTAAGATAGAGGGACCAGCCTGTCTCCCTGCAAACAAGTCTTCCAAACAATGTCTGGGTGAAAAATTAGTCAAATAATGAAGAGATGCAAAGAAAGGAAGATCCTTCTTATGTCAAGTTCATAACTCATGTCCGTGGGAAAGTTTAACTTTTCTAATTTTAACATTTATGCTACATTTTTAGATAGCGCGTCAGCGGGAGTATTTCCAGATGCTTTGGCGAGATGATCATCTAGACAATAGCAATAAATTTGGACTTCCCCTGAACATAATTTCCCAACAGCTTATTTCCATCAACAATAGCTAGTAAGTTGGTGTTGTCTTGAGATGCTTTACACTTAATCTTCTAGATTAATGAAGGGTATAGTGTTAAATCTAAACGTGACACTAAAAGCACTTTTCAAGTATTTGGGAAGATAAGAGACGTAGGCATAAAATCCATAAAAGAAGGGTTTTCTCGAATATTGCTATCTGTTTGATTTGTAAATAATAAAAAATAGGAAGCTAGAATTAAATGTATTCCAGTAGGTGCAAAATCAGCATTCTTTTCACAAGTCCTGGGGGTCGGGGGGAAACCAGCTGCTCTTGAAAGGCTCCTATAGGATTTAACCAGAGATATCACACAAGCCCACACATATGAAACTTGAATGTCCTTAAAAGTTTCTTAGAAGGACATTTCTTTGTTCTAGCAAGTGTCACTAAAGAGGTTTCTGCAGACCTGCCTTGTGACCCTCACCCTTTTAAGGAGCAGAGTTAAACTTCTTGAGGCCATTCAGGGAAGGTATAGGCCTTGTCACCCACTCGACATAGCATGACCTTTGGGGTTAGGGGGAACAGGGACAGACAGGGGACCATAAGAGCTAACAGCTGAGATTTTATCCTCATTTGGGGGAAAGAGCCCTGGGCCTCCAAGCACACAACTCTGCATTTTCTCCATAGACTTTTCTTAAGACCAAATTCTTCTCTGCAATAAACTTAAAGACACCAGCTGTGTGTGTGCAGCTTGCTATGTGAGAATCTACTATTCAGGAAATGGTTTTTGGCAGAACAGGCTACGGCTATACGGATACTAAAACCTGCCAGAATAGTCTCAGGAGGAAATGTTATTTGCTTGGTGAGATTCCTTTCCAGACGTTGGGCTATAGTTTTTAAGATCCAGAACTAAGAAAGATCCCATTTGCATAGATTTAAGGGGCAGTGTTAGGTTCTTTAGGTCTTTGTAGGTACAGAAGGACACTTATCTTGGGCTGTAGCCTTTATTTCTAAAGGAATAGCTACAGATGAGCATTTTATTGTTCTGGTCTCATACATTTATAAAAAATGACATCCTTACAGCCAATATGAATGATTCCAGCAGTTATATAAAGAATTTAAAAAATTCTCTTTGTCAGGTAGTGCCTGTGGCTCACAGGAGTAGGACACTGGCCCATATGCTGGAGGTGGTGGGTTCAAACCCAGCCCTGGCCAAAAACTGAAGAAAAAAAAATTCTCTTTGTCCACTAGAATTTGGGAAAACAATGGATTAAAGATTCAGGTGAAAAATAGAAACTAGTAACTATGGAAATTATTTGTTTTTTATTTAGTCACTTTTGAGTTATTTTATTTTCAGATATTTGACAAAATATTTATAACTGAAATGTTGACAGTTTTGCTATATCTTAATCTTTTGCTTAACCTTATTCTTACTAGGCTTTTAGACTATACCTTCTGTCTTTAGTTTGAAGGAATTCCCATGAAAGCAAAGAGCAGGTTGTATAACCGAGCAGTTTTCCGAGACAGACGTTGAGGTCCCTCCCAGTTTTTAAAATAATGCCCTGGACCTATAGGAGCGGTTTCATTGGCCTATAAAATTATAAAATTCAAATATCTTTAGAAACAGGTTAAGTTCTTTGTTGTATAAAATTGTCATTTATTGTTCTTCTTCTTCAAGCCCAGCTTTGCAAAATGTTTATCTGCTGGAGTTCCACCCTTCCCTTGGCCTGGCAGCGCTCATCCCCACAGCTCTGGAGCATGTCCTGTGCGAGGCCCACCATGCCTGCAGACCCACGTCAGCCAGTGGCCTCGCCGAGCTAGAGCGGCGTGTCCTAAGGCTCGCCCTCGACCTGTGGCTCACACCATCTAAGCCCGAGGCTGCGTATAGCACACAGCTCCAGAAAGACGTAGGTTCCTTCCTTCAGAAGGGGGTAGTTGGGTCCTTGGCGAAGAGAACATTTTCTTCCAGATGTTACTATTTAGCTTTGTTTTTCTGTTTGGCTCTATCCCTCCCAATCTGGCCAGAGACACATCACAGTCATAGGCTTTGCCAAAATTTTTAGGTCATTTTCAGGGGGTAGGGGAAGAGAGTCAAAGTTTCTAATTTGTAAGAATGAATCTAAAATTAAATTAGAAGAGTGATACACCTAGGTACGTGGGACATATTTTCTGGTTTATTATTTATATTTTAACTCTACTTTAAATTAAAATTATACATTTTCTTTTTGCTACAACTCTTCCTAAGATTTACTCTTTTTGTCCTGAGTCAAGATCGGGAGGAAGAGAGAGAGCCTAGGATGGGGAGTCAGGGACCTGGACTCAAGTTGAGCCCTGCTATTAACTTACGGCGAGACTCTCTTAGCCTCATTTTAATTTTGCTGTAAAATTATGTTTGTGTATTTGGGGGAGATGGGTGGAGGTGAGCTTCGTGATCTCTGAAGCCCCTTTCAGCTCTCCTGCTCAATGGTTCAAACTGTGGCCTAATGATTTGTATGGTGTTTATAGTTGGATTTTAATCCTTTTCTATCAAGGTTAATCCAGGATTTCCAGTTTGACCTCACTGTGTGTGGGTACTTGCTGTGTGACAAGGAACTTTCAAGGGCGCCCCCACTGCCAAAAATATCTTCTCCATAGGTTTGGCTCAGCCTCTATTCCCCTCCCACCCAGACTAAAATTCTATTTTATTTTAAATTCATTTAAAATGGATCAAAATAAAATAATAAATGTTCGGTGCTGTAGCTTAGTGGTTAGGGCACCAGCCACCTACACTGAGGCTGGTGGGTTTGAACCCAGCCTGGGCCTGCCAAACAACAATGACAACTACAACAACAACAAAAAATACCCAGGCATTGTGGTGGGCACCTGTAGTCCCAGCTACTTGGGAGGCAGAAGCAAGAGAATTGCTTAAGCCCAGGAGTTTCAGGTTGCTGTGAGCTGTGACACCATAGCAGTCTATGGAGGGCAACATAGTGACACTCTGTCTCAAAAAAAAAAAATATATATGAAATAATATGAAATGATAAGGAATTTTGGCAAAAGAAGAACAAACTCCAACCTAAATAGACCCAGTCAAATGCATTCATTATCATTATTTTTCTCAGTTCAAGTATTATACTTATGTACATTTTGCACAGTTATTTATATTATCTCCTGCTTTTCTTAGTTAACGTTATATTTTTCCATATTATTTCCCCATATTGCTAACTAGTCTTTATGCTTACCTTTATGACCACGTAATTCCCTTAAATGAGGAATCATAATTTCTCTAACCATTTCTCTATTAATGGACATTCAAGTGGTTTCCAATTTTTCATTATTATTAACAATACCATAAAGTACATCTTCATACGTATAGATTGCTCCATATTTTGAATTGATTCCTTTTGATAGATTCCTACAAGTGGAACTCCTCAGACAAAATTTAAATTTTTATTGCCTGGGTGTGGTGGTTCATGCCCTATTATCGTAGCACTTTGGAAGGCTGAGGCGCAGGATGGCTTGAAGCCAAGAGTTTGAGACCCGCCTGGGAAACAGTGAGACCACATCTCTACAAAAAATAGAAAAATTAGCCAAGTGGGGCGGGGGGGGAGTCTCAGCTGCTCAAGTGGATGAGGCAGAAGGATCATTTGACCCCAGGAATTTGAGGCTGCTGTGATCACACCAGTATACTCTAACCCAGGCAACAGAGTTAGACATTGTCTCAAAACAAAACCTGACCAAACCAACCAAACAAACAAACAAATAAAAAAAAATAAATAACTTTCTATACATATGGGCAGATTTTTTTGTTTTTTTACAATTTTAAAGAATTTATTTGAGCAAACAACAATTTGTGAACCAGGAAACTCTAAACCAGAAGTATTTGGTGGTTGTGCTGAATTAGGGGAGGGGTGAAGGGGTGGGGTAGGGTCTCACCCAGCAGGGGCATTGCGTGTGTGGATATGTGGTGGCAGATCTTTTTCCAAAAGAAGTGTGCCAACTTATATCACCAATAATGTACAAAAGTACCAGTTCTGCTCTACCGTATAGTTTCAGGCAAAAGCATTTAATGTATGTGCTGACATACACAGACACATAAGAGGTGGGTTCATTTGCATTTCCTTGCTATTTATTGCAATTAAATGTTCTTCAAAATGTTTTGTTACAAATTTTTGCAAATTTTCTATCATTCCCCTTTGTTTACTTATCTGCCAGTATCCCAATATCATTCCTATCTACTTATGTGAGTGTTTTGTTTGTTTGGGTGGTTGGGGTTTTTTTTTTTTTCTCTTTTCTTTTTTTGAGACAGAGTCTAACTGTGTTGCCCAGGCTAGAGCGCTGTGACATCAGCCTGGCTCACAGCAACCACAAACTCCTAGGCTCAAGTGATCCTCCTGCTTCAGCCTCCTGAGAAGTCAGGACTACAGGTGAATGCCACAACAGTCAGCTAATTTTCCTCTCTTTTCAGTAGAGACCGGTGCTTGCTCTTACTCAGGCTGGACTTGAACTCCTGAGCTCGGGTGATCCTCTCACCTTGGCCTCCCAGAGTGCTAGGATTACAGACATGAGTCACCATGCTGGGCCATACCTGAGCTTTTCTTACATTAAAACATTAACCTTTTTGTCTACCATGTTCTGAAAAATTTTCCCCATTTATTTATTTTTTATTAGAAATTTGTTTTCATATAATCAAATCTGTTGATCGTTTCCTTTGTGATGTCTTCTATCCTCCTAAATTCAGAAAAAAACTACCTTCAGAAGTATTTTTGTCTTATTCTAATTTCTTAAGGATCTGGGTTTTTTTTTTTAATAACTCTTTTAATATTTCACTGGATACAGATAGAAACAGAGAGTGTTGTGAGGTATGTGTTAAAATTGAATTTTCCCCCCAAATTATCAGTCATTTATACTAATACCGTTAATTGAAGATTCTTTTCATACTGTCTCATGGTACCATATTTTTTAAATGTATCGAAATTTTCTTGTAAGCTACAGTGATTTAATAAATTATAGTGACTATCTCAGATAACTGTCTAGTCTCCTGCTGATGCCACATAGTTTAATTAATGTTTTTGAAATGTGTTCAGATTTGGACCTAGAAGTGATAAATATTCAGATTAACTATTTGTATTGGGTCAGAAAATGGAGACGGTATTGCCCTAAGATGATGTACAGGAATTTGTTTAATAGGTCTTTTTGTTGTCGCTCTGGAAGACTTTAAAAACCTAGAAATAGCTTTCTGAGTAGACAAGTAGATCAGTGGGTAGACAAAGGAGCTTATGTACCGTTGGGGGCCAAACAGGAAAAGGCAGATAAGGGTCCCCCAAATGAGTCATTGCTGGGAATGGCAAAATAGAGGACAGCAAAGATGCTAGAGCAGAGGTGCTCCCCAAGGCTACGTGGTAACTTTGCCTAATCACCCAGGGCCTGCTCTGACTGAAGGAGGGCTGGCAAGGCAGCCGGGTACTCTCTAAACTTCTGAACTTGGGATTAGGCAGCCTAACTGGCTGCTGGTACTGCTGTGTGACCTTGGGAAGTGTCAGTGCTGTTTCAGATCCCTGGCTGATAAAGGGCAATAGTGGGATCTGAGATGCCTACTTGTGAAATGGGGATCTTAGGACAATAAAAATAAGAGACTGTATGGAAAAAAGTTTGAAAATTTGAAACTGCAATGACAGGAGTTTATAAAAAGTTATTGTTATTGGTCACTAAAATACTTTTAAAAAATCAGAGACTTTGATTTAGGTTGTCTTTCACATTTTTATTATTTATTTAGGCATGAAACATTTATAATAATGATCATAGCAAATGCTTTTGCATATATTAACTCATTTAGCCGTCTCTACAGTCCTATTAGGTCGTTATTATCTGTCAGTATCCAGTAGGTACTGTCATTATCCTTATCCCCAGTTTATAAATGGGAAAACCGTGAAGACTAAATCAAGTGAATTGCCCCAGATCTCACAGCTTGGAAGTGGCAGAGCTAGGACTTGAGCCCAGGAAATCTAGATCCAGACTCTATGCCACAGATAGTATTTTTTTTTTTTTTAAGAGACAGAGTCTCACTCTGTTACCCAGGCTGAAGGACAGTGGTGCCATCACAGTTCACTGCCACCTGGAACTCCTGGGCACAATGATCATCCTGCCTCAGCCCCTTGAGTAGCTAGGACTTCATGTGTGCACCACCATGCCTGGCTAGTTTTTCTTATTTTTTGTAGAGATGGGTTCTCTCTCTGTTTCTCAGGCTGGTCTCAAACTCCTGGGCTCAAGCCATCCTCTCACCTTAACCTCCTGAAGTTCCAGGATTACAGGAATGAGCCACCATGTCCACCATATTATTTTTTATGTGAAATGTCTTCTTTTATGTTTTAAAAGGTACTTTGTTTGCTTTCAGCTGTTCTCGGCTAAAGTGATGGGCGATCCCTTCCTCGTGGAGGAGATAGGCCTGCTTGCGCTCAAGTCTGCAGCAGAGGAAGGACGGGCACGAGGGCAAGACTCTCAAGTGCTGCTGCTGGAGATGTTTTCCAAACTTCTGGAGCTCTTGACCATCCGCCACCGGCTCATAGAACTGAGTCTGGAGAGTGCACACCTAGCTCGGTCAGTAGGGGGACAGAGGAGCCAGGTGGAATATAAGTTTCATATCTCCCTGCCTACAAGCCTTGCCCCATCTCTGCCCCCAGAGCAGCCAGAGTGAGGTTAAATGGTAAAATGATCACCTGGTTCCCTTGTTCCTTCTCTCTTCCATGCCTGCCCACAATCCTTCCTGACCGCCAAGTAGGCTGAGCCCTCCCACTGGCACCTGGGTTTCCTCTCCACTTAGCACATTTTCTGTTATTTAGATGCTTCATATTATTTTTTTGTTTTTCGTGTGAGCACAAGCTCCTTGAATGCAAAGCCCCATCCACATTGTTTACCATGATATCCCATTAGCTGGTATGGGGCCCGAGCCACACCAGGCACTCAGGGAATATTGGTGGAATTTACTCTTGAATATAATGAAGCTGAATAGCAGAGGGCCTGGGGAGGGAGAGAGACGAGCGGGTGATAACTCACATCCAGGTCTGACAGAGGCAGGGAGGGTTCAGTGGGCAGGAGGAGAAATTGAGTTATGTTTTAGGCATGAGCGTGAAATGACGGTACAATGTCAAGCCAACACGGAAGAGATCCTTCCCTCAGCTCAAAGGAGGAACCATAGCTGCGGACAGCATGATGGCAGACTCCTATCCTCTAGGACTGAGACGATACATTTCCACTGTTTAAGCCACTAAGGACTTTGTGTGTTTCTGTGGTACTTTGTTGTTTTATTTAGATACTTAATATTGTTTTTTTGTTTTTTGTGTGAGCATAAGCTCCCTTATATAAGTGCCAAGAATTCAGCCTTCATGTGCCAACTTCTCAAGAGGGAGAAATGTGTTAAAATGGGGGTGTTGCAGAAGGAGGAAAGCATTGTGGACGTGGAAGGCTGAGATGCCACAGGGATGTCTAAATGGAGCCAAGCTGCAAGCCCCATGAACTTGGGATGGGAGCTCAGAGTTTCCCATCAGGACAGAGATGAGGGTCACAGATTCTTACATAAAGGAGTGGTCTCAGGGCCTGGGGTTGTATGGACTTGCCAACCAACTAGGAGACGTAGCAGATGAGAGGATAGCCAGGTTTGGAACCCCAGGACACACCAGAACTTGAGAGTAAGGAGGAGGAGAAGCTAGTGAAGACAGAGAGAGTGGTCACGGGGCAGGAGCATGCAGAGCCTGGATCCAGGAGAGCAAAGACGCTCCTCACGGAGGGGATGGAGGCCAGCTGAGAAGAGCCCCGAGAGAAGATGGTGAACGCTGTATTGAGGGCAACGTTGTGAGCCCATGAGGGCTCTGGGCTCAGAAGCTTGTAGGAAATGAGAGTTGAGGAAGTGCCCAAGCACAGCTCCTTCTAACTGTAACTGTCATAGCAAGAGCAGATCTCGAGACCTTCACCACTCACCCACTTCCCATGGTCCTGGGCTGACTCTCGTTTGGCTCTGGTGCTTGTTCAGGTGTTTGGTTTTCTTACCACTTACTTTCTTTTTAGGAGAAATTACTAACAATTATACTTGGCCCCTTTTCATTTCTTTTTAGGCTCTATAAGGAATTGGCATGGGAGATGGGTTTTGAAGAGTTCCACTTGTACCTGAGGCCTGTTCACTTTGAATTTGCATCACACAGGGACAAGGTGGACCAAGCACCTCCTGTCTTTATAACCTCTCTGCTGCAGGACAGCGGTCAGGTAGACAGGTGAGCTTGAGAGGGTCAAAGTGAAAATAATGTAGTAGTAGAATGAATAGCCAGTGAAAAATACTTTGTCACTATTGGACATACATGCAATCGCATTTTTTTTTTTTTTTTGAGACAGAGCCTCAAGCTGTCCCCCTGGGTAGAGTGCCGTGGCATTACAGCTCACAGCAACCTCCAACTCCTGGGCTCAAGCGAGTCTCCTGCCTCCGCCTCCCAAGTAGCTGGGACTACAGGTGCCCGCCACAACGCCCGGCTGTTTTTTGGTTGCAGCCATCATTGTTGTTTGGCGGGTCTGGGCTGGGGATTCGAACCCCCCACCTTAGGTGTACGTGGCTGGCGCCTTAGCCGGTTGAGCTATAGGCGCCGAGCCACAATTGCATTTTTAAATTTTATCCCTTGTATTCTATCTGCCATGAAACTGTTTTTTCTTTCTTTTTTTTTAATAAAAGGGGGGAAAATAAGATCTCAATTAGAGAGACAATTGGATTTAAAAACACTGAATAACTGAGAAATGAAAAAAAAAAACAGGTCCAAGAAATCAAATGAGATGAAATTCCAGGCTCCGCAGCTTCCCAGATAAAACATGTTACTTTCGGCGAGAAGGCGAGGTGAAGTTTGGTCTGATGGGGAAAGAGCCACGGATCAGGAGTCCGGGTCTCTTCTCCCAGTTTTCTTGGAACCAGAAAGCAGTCACATAAGTTTTCTGAGAAGTTGTTTCCTTGAAATCCTAACACACTGTATAAATCCACCACTCAGGCACTATCTCAGTCCGGCTCTGTCGTTGGCTGGAGTCAGCAGCCAACTCGGTTGGTGAAACCTTTCTCGCACGCCCATGGGGTCAGCCCATTGACAGTAAACACTCCTGCTCGTAACTGATCATGGACTGACCCAGTTGGGGGAAAGAATCTTCTTTCCTCTCACGCTGACAGTCTTAGATGCTTAGATATACAGAGAGGAGAAGCTTCTGTCTCCCTCTTCTTTTCTTCTTTGCTAGTCTGCCCTTCCCTTTTAATAAAGGAAAAAGTGACTCCAAGGAGGCCAAGTCACCTCTGTTTTATAATGTAGATCGCTGCTCAGAAATAATAATTCTATATGTCAATAAACTAAAGCAGCAGGGGCGGAACACGGGGGTCAGGATGATCCCAGGACATCTCAACTTTGGCACTGCTGAAGTCTGGGGCTGGGTAAGTCTTTGTCATGGGGACTGTCCTGTGTGTCTTAGGTCATTGGCAGCATCCCTGACTTCTACCCCCTAGATACCAGTAGTACCCCAGTACCCCACATGCTCAAAGATGTCTCCAGACAGAGCCAAATATGCCCTCCAGGCAAAACCTTCCTTGCACTATCCTGTCACACTCACTAAACCAAAACAGAATTTACTGGAAGGATATAGAGATATCTGGAGATGCCAAGGCAGGAGGTGTGAATGGCCCTCAGGTGAGGCTAGGTCTCCAGCTGACCAAAAGGGTCTGGAGCCACACTGTTCTCTGGCTTTTCAGGAGCCTCCTGCTGGAGACAGCATTTTTACATTGCTCTAAAAATAGGGCACGTTTTTGTTAAGTCAAAATCCACCAATCAGCACAAACTGCCTGAATGCTCTGTGGTCTGGGCAAGCTGTGAATGTTCCTCCCTGGGATGACCCAGAGAGGCTACAAGATAAGGGGGCCTTCTGAATTACCAGGGCAAGGTCTATGCATTCAGAGAACTTATGCCTTGAGTTTGTATTTATTTTATGTATGCTGTTTCCTTAAACTTGCCACTTTGGAATGCCATTATAACAAAAATATACACAGTATAGTTGTCCTTTGTGGTTCGGAGACCCCTTTGTATCCCCAAATCCAAGGATGCTCAAGTACCTGATATAAGACAGGTTAGTATCTGTGTTTAACCTACTCACATCCTCCCTTATCCAGTAAATCATCTCTGGATTACTTACAATAATTAATATAATATAAATGCTCTGTAAATAGGTATACTATGTACTTTTTGTTTATATTATTTTTATTGTATTATTACTTTCTGTTGTTTTATTTTCTCAATTATTTTTAAGCCTTTGATGGTTGAAGCTACAGATGAGGAACCCACAGAGATGGAGGACCAACTACCATGTTTCCCTGAAAATAAGACCTATCCCCAAAATAAGCCCTAGCAGGATTTCTATGCATTTGTTAAATATAAGCCCTACCCAGATAATAAGACCTAGTGATGGGCGTGGCTATGCAGATATGCTGCATAGCCACACTATCCATTTTGGTGTGGAGAGGAAGACATCCCCTGAAAATAAGCCATAGTGTGTCTTCTTGAGAAAAAATAAATATAAGACAGTGTCTTATTTTCGGGGAAACACAGTAGACTGAACATGAGTATTGTGACTTACATTTTTAAAAAGCCCAATTATGCATATTATCCCACTTACTGTTTGCCATAACTCTATGAGGTAGGTGATATCCCTGTTTACAGATGCAGAAACAAAGCTTGATAGGTATTAATTACTTCATCTTATAGTCATGGACAAAGGATCATGTCCCAAAGTGGAAACTTGGCTACAAAGACTATTTAGATGATTGTTGGACCCACAGGAGAGAGCACTAACTGGACAACATTTGAGGGTGGAATTCAAAGCATGGAGTCAGTGAGGGGTCTTGAACAGCTCTGGTCAAGCAGGTAAGAGGAAAAATAGGACAGACAGAGTAGTATCATGGGGATCAAGAGAAAAGAATCCCAAACACTACGGCACAACCAAACCCCAGAGATCAAGTCTCATAAGGATTAAAAAGACCCCAGGGGTCCTTGTCATTTTTTAGTTGAAACATCAGCTTGTGTAAAACTTTGCATTTGCTGTTACTACTGACCTTCTAGATCTGATCACAGGCTGTCCCATTCCATCAGAATGGACACTTCCCGATTAGTGGCTGTCAGGTCACAGCAACGTTGCTTTCCTCTGACAGGTATTCTCCTCCCGCTCTTGCCTTAGCCATCTCGGAGGTAGATGATAACCACGTCGGCAAATTTAGTTTTTATACAAAGGAAGCCATCCTTCAGGTAAATAATTTAAATTTATTTTTTAAAAGGAAAATAGACTAAAGTAAAGCCATTTTGTTCATGTATTCCTTTAAAAATCATAATACTTAATTCATATAAATTTAATCCCTGCCTGTAAGAAAAACATCCAACTTCATAAATAATAATGATGGTTGTCTTAGTCCATTTTCTGTTGCTATAACAAAATACCTGGAACTTGGTAATTTATAATCATTTTATTTGTTGCGTGGTCCTGGAGGCTGGGACGTACAAGGGCACGGTGGGGAGGGCTTTTATACTAACTACATCAGAACACGGCAGAAAAGAAGAAAGACAAGCAAACGCATGTGAAAAAGACTGCAAGAGCAAGCCAAGCTCAATTTTATAACAACCCACTCTTCCAAGACAAAGGCCAGTCCCATTATCGTGATGTTAATCCATTTAGGAGGGCTCTGCCCTCATGACCCAATCACCTCTTATTAGGTCCCGACTCCTAACACATGAACTTTTGCAGGACGTGTTCAAGTCATAACAATGACCTTGCTTTATTTGATGTGCATGCCTGGTTTGAACCATAGAGACTACAACACAGTCTTATGATAACTTCTGACAGATACTAAAAGAAGCATAAGTAATGAACCATCTTTGCATGAGGCTTTTAAAATACACACTTGTTACTGGAGGTTTTATCTGATTTTTTAAAACCAGGTGGGTGCTATTATTTTCCCTGCCACTTGGGTTTTCTTGCTTCTATGTGTGTATTTTTAAAAACACGGATCTAATCTTGGCTTCCAGGAGCCGACCACTGAGCATATGTTTGCTAGTTCATCAGAGCCTACTCATCCTTTCCGGACCACTGGGGAAACCCCCTGGTCTACATAGCTACAGAACAAATCAGGCCTGGAGGCTGCCTTCCTGGAATGAAACGCTGCCCAGAGAAACTAGATTCATTCTGATGGTTGAGTAGCAAAGATCCCAGCTCCTCCAGCAATTTGATTTATACATTACATGTTGAATAAGCAGTGATCTCAGCCTTCAACTTCACCTCTTTGTGCAAGAGATTCCTAATACTGTTCACACTTTCTTTCTTTAGCTGCTGTTCCATTCAGGAGTGGAGAATATGCAAGTGACCCTTGCATGCCAAGCTGTTCAGAAAAATGCCCTGATGGTGGCTATCCAGCAGGCCTACTTCTATCTCACCCCTCCAGGGGGCCGTCCTGCTGGTGTCAAGGTCAGCATGCACGATAGGGAAGCAGAGTCATGCCACCACCACTGCCGATTAGAGCCAGCTGCCCCTCCTTTCCCCCTTCCCTTCCTCCCTTCTTTTTCCCCTTCCCCCTTTTTTCCTCTCTCCATCCCTTTTTCTTTCTTCCTCTTTCCCATCTCTTTATATTCCTTACTTTTTCTTCCTTCCCTTCTTATTTGTGAATCAATGTATAACTAAATCCTTACTGGGTCTCTTAATTTTCAGTGACGTGCTAATCATTTTTCCTTTGTATGTGACTCTATAATATTGACTGACTAGAATCATCCAGGAGAAAACATCCTGTTTCCCGACTCTTACCCTCTGTAGATAAATGACTGCATTGTTTTTGAGTTTATCCTCCCTGTAATTCTTTTTGCAAAAGTAAGCAAATTTTAGCTTGACACCTGTAGCTCAGTGGCTAGAGCGCCAGCCACATATACGGGAGCTGGCGGTTTCAAACCCAGCCTGGGCCTGCCAAACAACAATGACAACTATAACCAAGAAAAAAAAAAAGTAAGCAAATACATTTGATACTTCTTTTTTCTACAAAAGGTACCATACTATATGCACTCCTTTTCAGTAGATTTTTTTGTTTGTTTTTTGGTTATTGAGATGTAATTCATGTAACATAAAATTTTTCCTTTTGAAGTGTATTAGTCAATGGTTTCCTACTCACAAGATTGTGCTATCATGATCATTATCTAATTCCAAAACATATTAATCACTCCCAAAAGAAACTCTGTACCCATTAGCACTCACCCCCAAACCATACCCCACACCCCTCTTCCCTCAGTCCCTAAGCAACCACTAGTCTTCTTTCTGCTTCTGTAGATTTACCTATTCTGGACATTTCATATAAATGGAATCATACCACATGTGGTCTTTTGTGAGGGTTCTGGTGTCTCCACATTTTGCCAACACTTGTTATTGTCTGGCTTTTTTATGTTAGCTGTCCCGGTGGAGATAAAGTGGTCCCTAATTTTGATTTGCATTCACCTATTTCCTAAGACATTGAGCATCTCTGCTCATGCTTTCTTGACTTTATGTCTTTTTAAAAGAAATGTCTATCCAAATCCTTTGCCCTTTTATAAAATTGGATTTTGGGGGTTTGATTGATAAGTTGCAAGAGTCGTTTATATATCCTGCATACAGGTTCCTTATAAGGCATGTGATTAGCAGATATAGTCTGTGGATTGTGTCCTATACCAGTGCGTGGTGTTCACCTTGTACTTTTGTTATGGAGACAGTCTTAAACTTCACGAAGCAACCTCTGCTAGCTTCAGACCTTTCTTCTGCAGCTTCCTCACCTCTCTCAGCCTTCCTAGAATTGAAGAGAGTTAGACTTTGCTCTGGATTAGGCTTTGGCTTAAGGGAATGTTTAATCTTCTATCCTGACCACTCAAAGTCTCCACGTCAATAATAGGGAGTTTCACCTTCTTGTCATTCATGTGTTTACTGGAATAACACTTATAATTTTCTTCAAGAACTTTTTCTTTGTATTCACAACTTGGTTACCTGTTCAGCACAAGAGGCCTAGCTTTTGGCTCATTTGGGTTTTTAATGTGCCTTCCTCACTAAGCTTAACCATTTCTAGTTTTTGATTCAAAGTGAGAGATGAAAAACGCTTCCTCTCACTTGAATGCTCAGAGGCCACTGCAGGGTTATTACTTGGCCTAATTTCAAAACTTTTGGGCTTTAGGGAATAGGAAGGCCTGAAGAGAGGGAGAGAGATGGGGGGAATGGATGGTTGGTGGAGCAGTGGGAATGCACACCCACATTTACCGTGAATTTATTAAATTCACCTCCTTATATGGGCATGGTTTGTGGCGCCCCAAAACAGTGACAATAGTAATGGTAATACCTTAACTGTAAGGAAAAGTTTAAAACTCTGTTTTGCCAAAGATTTGCCAAAATGCAACACAGACACATTCAGGGAGCACCTGCTGTTGGAATACCGGTGCCAAGAAACCTGCTTGACACAAGGTTGCCGCAATCTTTCACTTTGTAAAAATAAACACAATATCTGCAAAGCACAATAAAGCTAAGTGCAATAAATAAGAAAAACCCTTATGTAAGCCTAATTAAACTTCTTTCAACAATATCTTATAGTTTCAAGGTACCTTTTGGTTAAATTAATTCTAAAGTATTTTATTAGTTTTGACAAGATTATAAATGGAATTGTTTTCTTAATTTCATTTTCAGCGTGTTCATTACCAGTGTATGGAAATACAATTGATTTTCGCATATTGATCTTGCATCCTGCAACCTTAGTCAAGGTTTAGTAGTTCTAGTAGGTGTGTATTCCTTAGGATTTTCTACATACAAAAAAAAATGCCATCTGCGAGTAGAGATAGTTTTGCTTCTTCCTTTCCAATTTAGATGTCTTCTAATTCTTTTTTCTTGCCTAATTGTTCTGGCAAGACCCTCCAGTATAAGGGTGAATAGGAGGGCAGGGGTAGATATTATTGTCGTATTCCTGACCATCGGGAATAAACTTTCAATCTTTTACATTTAAGTATGATGTTGGCTCTAAGTTTTTCATAGCTGCCTTTTACCAGGTTGAGGACATTCTCTATTCCTAGTTTGTTGAATGTTTTTATTATGAAGAACTTTTGGATTTTATCTATACTTTCTTTTTTTGTAGTTTCTTTTTTCACCTAACAGTATATGGTAGAAATCACTCCAAATCAGTTCATTGAATTCCCTCCTATTCTTTTTTACAGCGATGTAGTATTTTCTTATGTGTATACCTGTGACTATAACTTACATGTAAAATTAAATATGGCTTTAAGAATATTTTAAATATGGCTTTATGACTTTCCAGATTATTTTAAACCTTCTTTAGGCCTCATGGATTCCATGCAGCTTGCCACGTTTAACCTTGATCACATTTATCTGTCTCTATCCATTTACACCCTTCATATTGATAGGAGAGTCAAATTGATGGCTAAAGCAAGAACACTCAGACCCTACTTCCATTGCCAAGTACTTATTCCCATGGAAATCAGCTGCAGTAGAAATTAGGGATAGAGTGAATTACTTCAACTTTTTTTTTTTTGAGACAGAGCCTCAAGCTTTCGCCCTATGGTAGAGTGCTGTGGCATCATAGCTCACAGCAACCTCCAACTCCTGGGCTCAAGCAATTCTCCTGCCTCTGCCTCCCAAGTAACTGGGACTACAGGCATCCACCACAATGCCTGGCTATTTTTTGGTTGCAGCCATCATTGTTGTTTGGCGGGCCTGGGCTGGATTCGAACCCTCCAGCTCAGGTGTATGTGGCTGGCATCTAAGCCGCTTGAGCCACAGTTGCAGAGCCAATTACTTTAAAACTTTTAAAATTCAACCCCCCAAACCTTACTTCAGTGCCTATTGTAAGTTAGGCCATCAGATCGTACCAAGGCACGGTTCTTGCTCCTGGACTTGCAGGCCAGTGTGTGAGAGGGAAGCAGGCCCCCAGGAGGCCCACAGAGGTGGGCTGCTGGTTCTGAGAGTGCAGTTCTGTGGGTGGGTCAGAGTGAAAGCTAGAGTTCCAGAGGTAAGCAGAAGAGGCTGACAGAAGCATAGGAGGAATGTGTGTTTATGCTCTTGTACTATTGTGCTAGGACGGCCACCACAAAACTCCACAGTCTCAGTGGTAGAAATTTCTCCCAGTTCTGGAGCCTGGGGGTCTGTGATAAAGTTGACAGGGCCGCCAGTTTCTGGTGAGGGCTCTATTTCTGGCCTGCAGATGGCCGCCTTCTACTTTGTCCTCCTTTTAAAGTGTGGGGGAGAGTGAGTGAGGGAGAGCTCTGGTGTCTTTTTTCTGTTCTTATAAGGGCACAAGCCCTATAGGGTTTAGAGCCCTACTCTTATGACCTCACTTAACCTAATTACCTCCCTAAGTCCCCATCTCCAAATACTATCACACTGAAAGGTTAATACTTCCGCATGTGCAATTTGGAGGGCTACAAACATTCTTAACAGCTCTTTAAGAAGTCTGATCAGAATTAAGGAGGAAATTTGAGGGGGTAGGAAGATCAAAGAATAAAAAAGATAAGATATTTGTAGAAAGGGGCTGGAAAAGAGCAAGTAATTGAGGATAGAAATGAACACTGGGCATGATCGGGAGAGGGGGTGCGGGGGAAGGGGTCAGGGAGGGAATGTTTTAATTCACCAGTTTCTTGGGTCCAGGCAGGCACGGAGCTGAGTGGTAGAAATACATGGGCTCATGAGGTCTGTCTTGGTCTGTCTGCGTCGCTATAAAGAAACACCTGAAGCTGCATAATTTAGAAAGAGGTTTATGTGGCTCTTGGTTCTGAGGGCTGTACAAGAAGCATGGTGCCAGGCTCTGCTCCTTGGGAGAGGCTCTGGCCACTTCCACTCAGGGTGGAAGACTCAGGGGTGCTGGAGCCTTCTGTGCAGAGGAGGAGAGAGGAAGTAAGAGAACAAGAGGGGGCTCTTCTTAAAAAACAAGCAGGGAAATAATAGAGAGAAACTCACTCATTATCTTGAGGATACCACCAAACTATTCCTGAGGGATCCTCCCCAGCACCCAGGATACACTTCCCCTTAGGCCCATCTTCCGTCATTGGGGATCAAATTTCAACATGAGGTTTGGAGAGTCAAATATCCAAACCATAGGGGAATTCTCCCACAGCCCCATGTGACAGGGTCTTTTTTTAGGTGAGGAAACAGATTCTGAAAGGTTATGGAAAAGAGATAAGATCAGCCCCCCGAGTATGGGCACTGGGATCTGATTGCAGAGAATGTGCTTTCTTCCAGGAGCCCCCAGTCTCCTAAACCCGTAGATATTCTTATTTCCTGGAGACTGGGATACCTCATGTGTCTTCAGAAAAAAGATCAGGTTGGTCATTTGAGATGTTTTTACTCAGGATCCTTTTTTGTTTGTTTTTGCCTCCTCTGTCTCCTTCAGTCATTCTGCTATGGATAGCTCCTTATTTCTTCCATTGAAGAATGGGCTTTCCTTTGAAGCCTTAACTTTTTTCTCTTAGTTAATAGTTTAGGCCAATATAAGAGACCGCCATCCATTAGGCCCTGCAGCTCGCTGGAGCAGTTTCCCATCTTCTTCCCTTCTTCCTCACTCCTCTCTCCCACTTCCCTCTCTGCTTCTCCCTCCTCCCCCTTCTCCATCATCACCTTGTACACAGCAGCAGGTGCAGCCCACCTCCACCTGCCCAGGAGCCCCAAGGGAATTCTCC